GTGATGTTGAACATTTTTTCATGTATTTATTTGCTATTTCTACTTCCTTGTCTGAAAAATGTCTGTTCATTTGAACTGTTCTTATAAAAGGCCCTTTGCTTCTGTTTTGGGCAGTACAACTGTAGGTGCTGTTCATGTGAAAGACCTGAAAGTTCAGGGCTAAGTCCTTTGGTGTGTGTACAGGTTGAAGTACTGGGGCCCAGGAGTGCCTTGGAGGTCAGATTTTGGAATATTTGCTTGTACATAATGAGATTAACTTGGGGATGGGACTCATGTCTAAACACAGAATTCATTTGTTTTATATAGACCATATATCCTAAAGATAATTTTATATAATATTTTTAGTAACTTTGTATATGAAACAAAGTTTCAAATGTGGAATTTTCTACTTGTAGCATATTGGAATTTAAAACATTTGGTATTTTGTAGCATTTCAGGTTTGGGGTTTTCAGATTCAGATATGTAACCTATACTAGATGTGCATCTGAGAAGTTAAATATCATTCTTGTTTGGTAATTAACATAGTTTAACAAGGTTTGACACAGTGTCCTCAAGCCTGAGAACTTCCACTGGCACACAGAGCCAGGCTGTGCATTCCCAGAGCGCACAGACCTCTGACTGCTCCCTGAGGTGAGCGCTCCCTGAGGTGCAGGTGTCACTAATCAGGACTCCTCTGGTCTGTTCCTTAGCTCATCAAACGGATGATTGATGAGACATCCAGTGGTGGTGTCACAGTCAATGATGTCATCATGCATTTTACACTCAATTCACTGCCCTTTGGAGGAGTGGGTGAGTATAACCTTCTCTTGCTCATGGTAAATCTGTCAGGAACATTGCATTTTTCAAGACATTTGTGCAGGCTATTGACAGAGCTGGCTGCTGCTTATTCCTGCAGGTGCCAGTTTGATTGTCCTCTCCTGAGAGAGGCCCTCCCCTGCTGCTTACTGGGCAGTGGCTTCCTGATGCCCTGTACCCTTGTTTATCTCAGGGTGAATCTGTCCTGTTGCCCTTTCTGATCTCAGTAGCACTGTCCACAGCTGCAGTTATTTTGTTTACTTTATTGCTTTATTTGATTATTGCCTCCCAGATATAAGAAATTGGGGGCCAAGAATCATATCTCAAATTAGTAAGATATTTTCCCTCTTTCTCTCTCTTTAAAGGAGATAGTGAAAAAAAGGTTCCAGACAGGGAAAGATAGCAGTCAGAGGCTTTTCTGATGTCCACTTGTTTTCTTCTCAGGGTAACTCCCAGTGGTAATCGGTTGCTATCTGTACTGCTTCCTTAGCCTTTAGGGAGCGGCAGCCACCCCTGGCATATTCCTTTCCTGGGTTGGAGGACAAGATGATAAGCACGAGGACAGAGATTGTCAGTTAGTCATGGTGAATACAGGCCATTGCCTTTGGGATGTGCCTTGCTTCCCTCTCTCCATCTGAGATGATTGCCTTGCCTTTTTATTTCTTCTTTAAGATCTAAGTGATAGGCCTTCCTGCTGTCTAGTAGAGATATTACAAAATGACCAATGTGGAAAAATTCTTCTAACAGTGAGAAAACTATAAAAGCAACTATCTTAAAACACCTCCCCCAAAAAGAAAAGAAATGAACAAACAGGGTGGGGATTTAGCTCAGTGGCACTGCATCTGCTTCACAGGTGCAACATCCTGAGTTCCATCCCCGGTACAAAGAAAAGAAAAGCAAAGCCCCTCCTTTATTCTCTTTACTTGTAGTAGCATAAATTATTCCATGGATTGAATGGCCCAGTTTGGCAGGACCATAAACCTTATTCTATGGCCAGGGATCCTTGGCCTGCTGCCTGTGAGTGTCACAAGTCCTTTTCTGGGATGTAAACATATTGCTGAGACACAGCGCAGTGCTTGACAAATATTTCTTTCCAGGTTGTAGTTTGTTTTTTATTTTAACTGTGGTTTGAAACTTTTATATGGTCAAGCCCATGATACCTGTGGAGTCTACTTTGGCTTAGACCGCTCTTCCCTACTTTAGCATTAGATAAGTATTCATCTGTACTTTCTTTAAATTTTCTATTTTTTCTTTTATGTTTAACTTTGGAGTTCATTTTGGAATTATTCATGAGTAAGAATCTACCTCTATTATTTTTTTTCCAGAGAATAATCTATGCTGGGACCAGTTTTTAAAAAGAATAATCATCATTAAGTCATCTATACTAAATTAAAAGGTCACACTTAAGGTTTTCTCTTTGGTTTCATTATCTTTCCAGCTTGTCTTTCTGGGTTAGTGCTACAGTTTTTTGTTGGTTTTTTTTGGTACCAGGGATCAAACTCGGGCCCTTGTGCTTGTGCAGCAGGCGCCAAAACCACTGAGCTAAATCCCTGACCGCCACAGTTTTAATTACAGTAGCTCTATAGTTAGCTTTGATGCTAGCATTTATTAAGTGGATGTGTACCAAGTACTGTGCTGAGTGCATGCATTTTAGAAACCAGTAGTGGTAGAGCCAGAGACTGAGCCCAAGTTGCCTGTCACTGAAACCCCACAGGTTTAGCCAGTCCAGTAGTTTGCTCCTCAGGAATAGTACTGCTTCAGTATCTGAAAATAAGTCCCTCTTTGTTATTTTTCAATGTTTTCTTGCTTTTTAGCTTAATTAATTCTTCCAGGTAAACTTTAAAATCACTCCTTGTACTCAAAGTGTACCTTTAAAATCCCTTGGGATTTTGATTAAAATTGGTTTAAACTTAACAGTTATTTTGGGAAGAATTTATGTCATTCAAATGAGGAGTGTTTTTTTTGTGTGTGTGTGTTAAATTCTTTTATTGGTACATTGTAGGTATACAACACAATTACATTTCTCATTGGGGATTGTACCTTTATATAATGCATCTTCGTTCTTACTTTTTCCCCATTCCTGGCCCTCCCTTCACCCCCTCCACCCTTTCCTATTTACAAAGACTTTATTTCCATTTTTTCCATTTCTCATCATTTTTTCCTTTCCCTTCTTTCCTTT